CAAACTAACTGCCCCGCCCCCCAAAATGACGATGACAATGACAATCAAGTGTAGTATCTGTTGCGATCCGTTTGAAAATCGGCGTGCGCACGTGCGAGCGCACAAGAGGGAGGGAGAGAGAGAGAGAGAGAGAGAGAGACCAAACTAATCGCCCCCCCTAAAAAAAATGACGACAACGATGACGATCAAGTGTAGTATCTGTTGCGATCCGTTTGAAAATCGGCGCGCGCACTTGCGAGCACAGAAGAGGGAGAGAGAGAGAGAGAGAGAGAGAGAGAGAGAGAGAGAGAGAGAGAGAGACACCCCAAACTAACTAACTACCCCGCCCCCCAAAACGGCGACGACGACGATGGCGATCAAGTGTAGTATCTGTTCCGATCAGTTTGATATCTGACCTGTAAACCATTGGGAGATCTTAAACATTAATTTTTTTTTTGGAAAAACAGTGTGTGCGCATGCAGCAGAGCAACAGAGAGTGAGAGAGAGAGAGAGGGGGGGAGAGAGAGAGAGAGAGAGAGAGAGAGAGAGAGAGAGAGAGAGAGACCAACCCCAAAACGACGACGACGATGACGATCAAGTGTCTGCCACTCTCCGCTCCTCAGCTGCACGACGGCCACGATGACGATCGAGTGTAGTATCTATTCCGATCAGTTTGAAAAACGGCGCACGCACGTGCGCGCGCACCAGAGAGAGGGAGAGAGAGAGACCCCAAACTAACTATCCCGCCCCCCAAAGCGATGTCGATGATGATTAAGTGTAGTATCTGTTCCGATCAGTTTGATATCTGACCTGTGGACCATCGGGAGATCTTCATTAGAAAAAAAAAAAACCCGGAAAAACAGCGTGCAGCAGAGAGAGAGAGAGAGACAGATAGATAGATAGATAGATAGATAGATAGATAGATAGAGATAGATAGATAGAGAGAGAGAGAGAGAGAGAGAGAGAGAGAGAGAGAGAGAGAGAGAGAGAGAGAGACCCCAAACTAACTACCCGGCTCATCCCCAACAACTTCTCTGCTCCTGCCGCCCTCNGAGAGAGAGACCCCAAACTAACTACCCGGCTCATCCCCAACAACTTCTCTGCTCCTGCCGCCCTCCTCCGCCGTCTTCCCCCGCTTCTTCACTCTTCCCACTCCTCCGCCACACCTCCACAGCTCGGGGAAAAAAGGATGTGCCTCCCCTCTGGTCTTTCTCTGTGTGCCTGGCGCCAAGCTTGCCCAGGAAGGTACATGAGGCCAACAGGGATTAAACCCAAGACCTCGTGAATGCCACTTTCGTGCCATACCAACCAAGGTACGCCGCTGGATTTCAGTCTAGAGTCGGGGGAAGACAGTAGGGGTAGACATAGCATGCCGATTTCCAAAGCCAGCTGTTGCAGAACCTCCCCAACTAGCAGGAGGTGCTGCACACACATTGCCATAGCTGTTAGGGCACAACCCCCCACGGGACCATGAGTCTAAAAACACCCCCGACCACCACCCCAAAACCCACTGAACCCACCACCCCGAGTCATTTCTCCCATTTCCTCCTCAATCCCTTGCCAGCGAAGCCGCAACAGGTACTCTTGTTGGGTTTATTATCTTTTCAGTCCAGCTTGAATTTATGTCATGCACTGATAAGGCGGCATTCCCAGTTTCATGTTTTCTTTTGTTTTGTTTCTCTTTTGTGTTTGTCTTAATCTGTGCATGTAATGTTTGAATGATTTTTCCTAGCTGATAGAAATGCATATGTTGGCCGGTTTATTTTGTTTCAATTTCTTCTGAGTCTGTCAGCAGGGGATCGAGGCCTACTTCCATGGACAGTTTCTCGTTCTTGAAGTTGCCAGTGGGAAGTCGAGAAAGACATCCTTTCATTTCCAGTTTGCATTCAAACCAAGACGATGGTGAGTGGCATGACCTGTTTTGAAAGCGCATATGGCTACCGTCTTCACCCAAATAGAACGCCTAGTCATTTCAGCTGTATTTGGGGCAACAGTCAGTTTGGATACAGTGGTAATGACCGGGCGTTCTATTCGGCTGAAGGCGGTAGTTGTAACTGAAGAAGATGCTGTGCCGTGTATTTCTCGTCTACTATAACCACCAGTTTACACGAACCGAAGTTGTGCTCTTACAGGTGTCCACAGTAGGAGCATTTTGATTCAGGCCTGGGTCGGTAGCGAAACCGGCAGGCCACTTTGAGAAGGTACAGTTGCAGGCTCGGGAGTGTTAGATGGTTGCTTTGTTGACTTAGGCTCATGCAACCCGGTGGTTTAAGTGATTTTCATGCTCTTGATTTGTTTGTCAGTTATGCGTGGGGTTCGAACATTCAGTGATTCGGTATGTGTACACAGATTGTCTTTGTAGTACCTGCTTGATGATGGTGATCTAGTGAACGGGAAAGTGAAAAGAAAACGGTTGCATTCAAATCGGGAGAGAAACTTCCGTGTGGAATGTGGGAGAGAAAACAACTGCATTCGTATGGCGGACAAGTCTCGAAGAAGGCAAAATGGGAAAGACAATATGGAGGTCTAGAAGGAAACCATAGTTACTCTAAAGCATATCAGCTACAGGATCACGGACATTGACGTTCAATGCGGAGAATGGAAACCCTGGGGTTGAGAGATCAGGACGGACATTGACGTTCAATGCGGAGAATGGAAACCCTGGGGTTGAGAGATCAGGATAGAAAGCACTCTGTTAAGCATTCGCTGAAGGACAGAGGATAGGAAGAACTCGGACAACTGTCATTCGTGAATTGGCCCGATATCTAGAGTCTCGAGTCTCAAAATATATGCTTGGACACAGCTCTCGCCTATTTTTTCTCCTGGCTTGGTCGTGCAGTGTGCTAGCGAATGGTTGTAGAGAGGGAAGTCGAGCATGACAGTTGTAGAATATTCCGCTTGCATGGGCTGTCGCTCTTAAGAACAAAAGTGTGGAATGAAGGTCTAGGACTATGCCATCACTAATGCAGGAGGGAATTTAGAGCACTCTGTTAAGCATTCGCCGAAGGACAGAGGATAGGAAGAACTCGGACAACTGTCATCCATGAATCGGCCCAATATCTAGAGTCTCGAGTCTCAAAATATATGCTCGGACACAGCTCTTGCCTATTTTTTCTCCTGGCTTGGTCGTGCAGTGTGCTAGCGAATGGTTGTAGAGAGGGAAGTCGAGCATGACAGTTGTTGAATATTCTACTTGCATGGGCTGTCGCTCTTAAGAACAAAAGTGTGGAATGAAGGTCTATGACTATGCCACCACTAATGCAGGAGGGAATTTAGAGCCCATTAATACCTCCTTTATTTTAGCCAATGTTCACGGCTTGATGCCTCACTGCTACGGATGTTGTCTTGTGACTGGATGTATGCTGTGCTGCAGGTATTTCATTGGTTTGGAACATTCTCTGAAGCAGAGTGGTTTATTATCAAGAGGGGAGGGAGAGGTAAAAGCTTGATGACATGGCCATCTGCCTGCTTTTTGCTTTGTGAACCCCTTCCATCAAGAGGGTAGTCTTTCCTCTTTCTTATGTGGGGGAGGGGGGGGGGGGGGGGGGGGGGGGGGGAGAGAGAGAGAGAGAGAGAGAGAGAGAGAGAGAGAGAGAGAGAGAGAGAGAGAGAGAGAGAGAGACCCTCCCCACCTCCTTTTCTCACCACAACCTCAGCATCAAGCTACCTGAGCTAGTTTACTGATTTGCCAGTGTCTGGAGTTTGGATCTGTACTTTACTGAGGAGAGGATTTGGCTGATATGGGGTGGTGTACCGGATGTGTGAAATGAGGAGTACACCTTCGGCTTGAAGGTGGAAAGATGCAATCTTCATCTTTTTTTTTTGCTTTCTGCAAGTCTCTGGTCTGTTCTGACATTTGGTGAGTGGTGGAGAGAGGCCCTATAAGTTCATTATCGCTGTGTTTGTAGTATGTACCTTTGCTTTCTGACATCTGACAATGCCATGACAACTGCTGCAGGTTGGACACACTAGGTTGCTCCCCTGAGTAGAAGGAAATGGGAGCTGCATGATTTTATTTGAAATGGATGATTTTGATTGCTAGACTATTCTATGTAGCGTCTCCAACTTGAATTGTTGTTGGGGTTAATGCTTTTTTGTGCGATTTTTAAGCATGGGTGCTGAATTGTATGCGTTCCATTGTTGCAGGTGAAACTGTATGTGGATGGCAGGTTGACTGAGACGCGTACACTGGAGTTGCCCCGAGTATCAAAGCCCCTAGCCTTTTGCTGTATTGGAACCAACCCTCCCCCAGCAATGGCAGGACTGCAGGTATTTTTTGCTCAAAGCCCTGCACTGAGTACTTTCTTGTCAAAGTTGCAAATTCGGTATTTTTGTGTCCAAAATGCATATGGTGGTGACTCCAGGTTTTTTGGGTTCATTGGCTGGGAATTGCACTCTGAACTTCTGATCAAGAACATTGGCTGATGCTTTCAACTTGACCTGCTGGAAAGGGTGTTTTACTGTCAGCTTCAGTGGGGAGATGGCTTGCCGGAGTGGTACGAAGGCGATCTTTTGATAAGAATGAGAGTATGGTAAATAGTATACTCACAGTATGCGCTTATAATTGCAGAATCGCAAAATCAGGGACCACATTGAGTCTTTTAAAAGGGCTCTATCTGGCCGTTCATTTTGCAATTCTGTGGTTATAAGGGCCTATTAGCCCTCGCGGGGGCCCTTGTCAAGCATCCACATGTTCTTGGCAGAGCCCCCCAGCAAGCCAAGTGCCCACCCTAAGTGAAGGTGGGCCTGAATATTCACTAAGCTGCGTCGTACGGTTTGGCCCAGGCCTTGGCAGTTCGCATATGTGCGCATTGGCAGTTTGGCCCAGGCCTAAGTCAAGGTCAAAATTCGACATTTCTCATATGTGGGTACTTGGGCTTTTGCATATGCGCGCCTTGGCAGTTTGGCCCAGGCCTTGACAGTTCGTTGAGTGGATGCATGAACCTCCCTAAGCTGCGTTGTACAGTTTGGCCCAGGCCTTGGCAGTTGCGCCTGGGCACATACACACAATGCAGGGCCAATACATCACGAAGTGGCCACAGGCCTACGCAAAAGCAGCACTGTCGACGTACATACCCCGGGTCCTGTGCAAATGCACCAAACGGCCCAGACTACGGGTCCTGTGCAAATGCAGCAAACGGCCCAAGTCTGGAGACTCAGGCCGTGCCCAAGCGTAAAGGGCCCAGGCCCTCAACTGTAGCACTGGGCCTGGGCGCAGGCACCGGGGCCCAACCGGAAGCTACTGGAAGCATCCAGCCAGGCCACACGCAGCCAAGCAGAGGCTGCCACTTCCATATAGGAAGGAAGGCAGCCAGGGCCGGGCATTCTGGGCCACGCAGGCAATGCGGTCATGCTGCTGCACTGCGTTAGGGGCTGCATGCTGCGTTGCGGCCAAGGCACTTTTGGGCCGCACGAGAGGTGAGAGGGGTGCTGCTGGGCAGCGGGGCGCTAGCAGCCATAGCCGACCTGCAGGGCGCTAGGGGGTAAGAGGGCGATCGGTGGTCTTCAGGAAGAAGGCGAGTGTGGGTGGACAGGGTCTGATGAGGGGAGATGAGATACGTACCTGGTACATGAGAGAGGTCGGCTATGGTGTTGATGGCATGTACATTGGTCTTCGAGAGTCGAAGTGAGCCTGTTGCGAGAATGCTGATGTAGGTAGGATAGTCGAATAGTGTAGGCAGGGCGCTGGGCGCCAGACAGAGAGGAGCGACTTTGGATACTGTGTTGGTGTGGCCTGAGGGCTTGAACATTGGCTCATTACTTCATCGTATTGCTCTTATTTGGATGGATTCTTGGTGCACTTGTGCTCTCTGCTTGTACACGACTACTTGGACATCTGTGTGATTTCGCTTGGCTTTCTGTATATCCTTCCCACTCATATTCCCTGCACTACCGTCTTCACCCGAAAATAATGCCCGTGCGTTATATTTAACTTACTCTAAGAAGATCAGATTTTCGTTTCTACTCCCTTTTTCTCAAATCGAACACCCCTTCGAATATAATACACGGCCAGGCGTTATATTTGAATGTTCCATGGGCAGAGTGCCTTGTGGAGGTAGTAGACATGGGTTTGAAAGGGTGGGGAGGGGGGTATATATATGGGTTTTAAAGGGGGTTGAAACTTGAAAGGGGTTTTAACTTCCAAGGGGCATATTTCGGTATGATGTTTTGTATTTATTTTTGTTTCAGAGTTTATAAACTTTTTATTACTTTATAAGGAATTCTGTAGTGACCCTCAGCCAAAAGTTGGGCGTATTGCAATTCTGGACAACATTTTTTTTTTACAGAATATGTTGATTTTTTTTTGTTTTGGGAGTTTTGGGCCCTCAATGCCCCCACCGAAGTTGCCACCAATTTACTGAATACAACGCCCGGGCGTTATTTTCGGGTGAAGACAGTAGAGTGTGAGTAGTCCCTGATGCAGATTCTGCGGTTTCCAGGAAACTTCTCCATGTATATGACGGTGAGTGTTTCTGTTTTCAAATGTGCTCAATTGGATGTTGTAGAGGCGGAGGCGACTATGTCCTTTGTTTGCAGAAATGGGTCCTGTCTACATTTTCAAGGAGCCTATCAACGACAGAATGAATAGATTGGTAAGCTAACGTCGTCATACATGATCGAGCTCGACTCTGTCTCACACAAGTTCTTTTTCGTACTTTTGAAAGTGGGAGCTATTTTGATTTTGTAGGATGTAATCAATGGCAAACTATGAACGTCGTCAGCAATCTTATGTCCAGGTATTGGATCGAACTCTACTGCCTCGCATGTCAAACTCTCTGTGTAGCTTAAGCGGCTGAATGGTAAGCACAGGTCACGCGTTCGAATCGTACTAAAATAGCGACACACACACACACAAAAAAAAAAAAAAACAAAAAAAAAAACATAATTGTGACACAGTGTGCCTCTCCCCACTGCGCTTTCTATTTGCAAAATAGAGTTGCAGAAGAGCACTGTCAATCAAATGAAAGTGCCTAGCATGCACAATCGAAAAGTCGATGGAATGGTGGTGCTCCAACCCAGCAGAATCGAATGTGTCTTCAGTTTGAAGGCAAGCATCCCCTGAGTCGCCGTCCGCTGCACTCTTGATTAGCTCTCCATAGATCAAGCGTAAGGTGAAGAGGACGATCATCGAGTGGAGTGAGGATGCCTTTTTTTCCATTTTCTCCTCTGAAAACTCCCTATGCCGACTCTTGATTTCTGGGATAAATCGGCAGAGTTAGAGTGAGGCCCTGTTATTGGCTCTTATATTTGAATGTATCGAGTCTCTCAGTTTTTGCCAGCAACCGTCTCCATGTATGTGTTAGAATCACAAGCTGCTCGTGGCAGGATATTGGCCATTTGCTGCTGTTGTGAGATGTTCATGGGAGTGCCTGATAAATGAACAGTAGCGAGTTGTGAGATGTTCATGGCAGGAGAAGTGTGGATACTGCTTACCCCATTCAGCGTGGTTTAAATTACGTATGTAACATATGCCTTATGAGCATAGTTGCGGCGCACCAGTGCGCAGTGCGGTGCAGGGTGGTGTGCGCTGGAATGACAGCGCGCGCACTGTGCGCAGTGTGCAGTGCGGTCCGCTGTGCGCGGTGTGCGTGCTGAGGGAAGTGCGCTATGTGCGCGACAAAAAAAAAGAAGAAAAAGACAGGCAGCTAGAGAGAGAGAGAGAGAGAGAGAGAGAGAGAGAGAACAAAGGGTCCCCTCTATGTCAATTCGAGTGGCCCTGCAGGTACCTCGAATGGCTCCTACAACGCATGTGGAGCCATTGAGGGCTGCTGCTTCAATGAGAAGGATGACCTCGTCATGCATGAAAGACAGTGGGGCAGACCACCAATAAACTCTGTGTATTCGAGTTGAGGGCTGTAGCTCGGCAGTTATGGGTCACCAGTTCAGCTAGACCCTGTTCGTGTCTCCACGTGATTCTCAGGGCCTCCCTCCACCACTCACCAAACATATATAATATTTAGTAGAATGAATCTTCTGCTAAAACATGGAACCATACACCGCCATATGCTATGTTTTTTGTGCATTTGGTGAGTAGTGGAGCAGGCCCCACTGGACGTATTCGTAAGAAAACAAAAACAAGAAAACAGGAGAGCCACGGGCAGCTTCATCCTAACCCTAAACTGCCGACATGCAGACCTGAACGCCAATCTTCAGCATATATTGTTGGTCGGCTGGCCATAGAAAACAGAACTTGTGATCTCTGCGAAGCTTCGGGGGGCAGGTCGTTATCAGGCGACTACCTCTTCTTGCAAACTTACCCCACCACTGTAGAATGGAGCGGGAATAACATCTTTCATACCCCGCCTAAAAAAAAAGATGGAATGAGCCCTATTTTTTAAGTATTTTATGCTTCGCCATTCTGAAACTTTTGGGGGAAGGGCCTGCGGAAATTGAAATTTGGCAGCCCTTACGCAAAAGAAAATTTCGAGCTGGGGTGGGGCCGGTTTCTGAGCTCGCGCGGTGAGTTTAACATTTTTGCTGAGTTGGGGGCCCTAAGAAGTTACGAAACCCATACTCTTTTTTTTTTTTTGGGGACCTAATTTTTCCAGTGCGCTGCGCTTTGGTACACTGCGGTGCGCAAATCCACGCACCGAGGTGCGCTGCAACTATGCTTATGAGGGTTCGTTTGGTGAGCTTGCAATTCTCCGATGGATTTCCGAGGAACATAGAGGCGACATGTAGTGTATTTGCCTGCTTCCAGATATTCCTGGGTCCCAACAGGCAATTATTGGGTCCCAACAAGTTCTTTGTGAAGAGGCCACACAGAGGTTGCCTTCTACCTGTTTAAACCTTTAGTAAATACCCAGGCGAACTTGAGAATTGACATTCTGGCGACCCGAAAATTTTTGGAGGCTCGGGACTACAGGACCAAAATGGTGGGCGGCCCCTGCTAAAATGAAAGAAAAAGTGCGGCGCCCATTTTGCGAGAACCTGGTGCGTAGGGGGAATCTGACTCTACGAAAAGAGGCTCGGATGTACTGGTGGTGCGCAAGGCCTCAAAGAGCATCAGAAAACTGCTGTCCCTCGGAGGGAAAGCATTGGTATTTGTATGTTTGGCAGCAAGGATTGTGTTTTGTCTTGAGTGAGGATGTCGTTTGTGGGCGACGTGAAGAGGGTCGGAACAAGTGCACCTTTTTGTGTGTCGATTTCCTCTGCGTGCTCGTGTTTTGATGCAATTGATATTTGTTTGTCGGTGTAATCCAAATATGTAGGTGCTTCATGCAGCAAAAAGAACTTTCTCAGTGCCTAGCATATGCAGCTCTTCTTCACACCTATGGGTTGTTAGCCTATTTCCTGGTGCATGGTTCTGTGCTCGTTTCCTGCCCGCTCTCCGGAGCGGATCTTCTTTGAGTTTAGTATGATTTGGCATGCGACTGGTAGGACAACTGGCATCTGACTGCCACGGAACGTGCCATCTTACTTTGCCTCTGACTTGGCATCTGACATCTTTTTGCCAGGCTTTTTCATCTGGTTCACATTTGGCGTGACGTCTGAGCTGGTCCTCATCTGGGAGTGGCACAGGTCTCGACTTCGTTGTTTTCAGCTGGGCTCAAATTCTCAAACACATCGGATACACAACCAATGTGTGAGCGGTTCAGTGGCGTGTTCACTGTGTGCTTGAATGGGGGTTAAGGGAAGAATTGGTGTTTGATTCGAGTGCTGAATTGTGGAAATAGCATATGCTTGTATCTGTGCTGTTATGATCACTAAATTTTATGACATTAAGTGGAGGAGGAATAGGTTAATACTTTTGGATGCGCAGCGAAGGCCTTTTTCTTTTTTTTGGCTGATAGTCCTGAGTTTGTCTCTGAGTTTGGGTTTTGTTTGCTTCTCATGCTGTTTGAGTTTGTGTTTGCAGTTTACGCGTGGTGGCAATTATTTGCCGACGTTTGGAAATGGGTCAGGGACTCCCTGGATGGCCAGCTCTGAGCTGATGCTCATCATCACAGAGGACAAGTAAGGTCACCGCTTTGATTTGCATCCAATTTTGGTGGTTGATTGTTCCCTGAGGATGGTTTTTTTGCCTCTTTCGGAAATTGGCGATCATGCATGCATGTGGCAGGAGTGTATGCCACTTTTCTTTCTGGGAGCGTGCAGTTATTAATGTCTGTAGGTCGGTAGTGAAAACAAAAAGAATTGCAAATGGCTTGCTGTTAGAGGTATGATCATCCACTTGTATTACTGTTTGTAGGTTGGTAATGGGAATCGGGAATGGTGTGCTGTCAGAGGTATGGTGCCCTATTCAGGACTTTGTTTTAGGGGCTTTTCATTGATCCGCGATAAGGCTGTGTCGGAGCTCCTTCCATCACTCATGGGGAAGAGAACAGTTTGAAAATGTTAGCAGCTAAGCAGCGCCACCAAACTTGATTTCTACGATTTTCCGACCTATAGTCATCAAACTTGATTTCTACAATTTTCTGACCTATACAAAGTTACAAACATGATTTCTACAATTTTCTGACCTATAGTGGAAAATTGTTAAAGGAATTGAAAATGGTAGCAGCTAACCAGCACCGTTAAACTTGATTTTCCTACCTAGTGTGACAAAGTGAGAAATTATAGAAAAAGGTTAAAAAATGGTTTCAGCGCGCCTAATGCTGCACCGTTAAGTTTGATTTTCCGACCTAGTCTGGCCATAGTGGGAAGTTGTATGAAAAGGGATAAATATGTTTCCAGAGTGCCTCACGCTGTGGGTCGTTTCCCCCCTTCCTTTCGCAAAGTTTCCCCTCTTAACCAGTCTGTGAGAGCACAACTCCCTCTCGGCTATGGCACCCACTTCCCTTTGTCAGTGCCCCGCTGACGCTGCTCTGTTGCTGACCACTATGCTGGACAGCTCGCCATCTCTTTCTAGTGTTGCCACATGTTGCGCCCTCCCCCAATGACTTCCTTGAGCCCTGATGTTTCCTTAGGGGGGGGTCCATACTGGATCAAGTAGTCGGCCAGGTCTGGCCAGAGATTCGGACCTACCGGTGTGCTACCTGGAATTGGAGCCCCGGACCTTTCGTAATTGTACTGAGTATGATGCAGCTTGGTACACGCGTCTAAAACTACTGAAACGGCTGTCCAGGCCCCGCACGCTTTGGGGCTCAGCCTACGGCACACCCAACAACGGAGAAGGCCAGCATCACCATTCAGAACGATGTGATTTGTGCCCGCGCTGGCGACAAACCTCGGCGCGCATCCGAAATCGGTATAGGTAAAACGAGGCTTCGGCGTATATTGGTGTTTCAGCAAATTAGCAGTGTTTTTGACACCATGGATAAGATGCATGCTGGAATGACGGATCCATTTTCCCATTGCTTTTACCTTCGTTTGTGCTCCAGCTTTACGTTGGATGCCACCACATCTTGGTACGATTTGTTTCAAACACCTTGCAGAAATCTCCGCAATATATTTAGTGTAATTGAAAAGTTGGGACAAGGGTCACAATGTAGTGCATCGCTTTGGAATCACTACATATATAACTATTGCTAATTTTTGGCCTGTGACAAGTAGACGATCGAGGCCCTCCGATTTTACACTCCACGACGGTCCCGATCGTCTGCTGGTCATTTTCTCTTAGAAGTTGAACCGTCGCACATGCTGGGCCTGCATGCCAGCACTGGTACCAGCACTGGTACCATGCGAGGTACCAGGTCCATGCGCCCGCACGGGTACTGTCGCATGTTACTGCCGCATGGTACGGGGCCAGTGCCGGAACCGCGCACGGTACCGGGGCAGTGTGGGTATAATCGCACGTTACCGGGCCAGCGCCGGGACCGCACGCGAGTCCGGGGCAGTGTGCGCTTACAACGTATAACAGCAAACTTTTTGCGCACTGCCCCGGCAGGTAGACTGGACGCTGTCAGTAGACATCGATTCTAAACGGTCTAAGGTACTCGATGACGTTGTGGACTACTCTACGCTTCTCTTGAGCTCTGCATAGACAGGCTAACCCACTCGAAGGCGTTGTGGACTGCCGTACTCTATGCTACTCCAAGCTCTACGCGTTCGACACACACGTTGACACACACACACACACACACACACACACACACACACACACACACACACACACACACACACATTGAACTAACTATATTGCTTTTGCCTTGTCTATGTGGCTGACCTCTTGGTTTTGTTTCAGAAGTCCTGTGGTGGCGGTCACCGTAAGGGGGCGGTTTCTTTCCCTTTCCTTCCGCGCAGTGAGTATAGTTAGCCCCCCACCCAAGGTGTGCCAGACTCAGGTGCGGAGTACTCCTGCTCATCGCACCCTTGCAGGACATTGTCGTTGACATAAACGTTGTCCACAGAGCTCCAGGTGATGATCGGACACTCCTTCGTAACAGAATAGCTAGTCCTGTTGTGCCCGGCGTCTAGGGCGGTTGCCCAGAGCACACTCACAGCTGGAGGCCTTCTGTGTACTAGCGGAGTCATCGCTTAGGAGACTTGTGGCGAGTGCCTCCTGCAAGGGACGCCGGCAGTCGCCCCGTGCTGAGCCGACGGGCCTAAAACCCTGGACCGAGGCTTTACCCTTATGCTACACTCCCTCTTTCTACTTTTTGAAAAGAATTTCCTGATTTTGAAAAATACCATACGTATGATGTCGATGATACAAGGTGAGAATCAGGAAAGGGACTTGAACGGGGATTCCCGTGCTAGTGGCGCAGCACGAATCACACGCCCTACTCATGATCCTCTCTATGGTAACCCCCCTTGCTCTTCCCTTTGATTCTGAATCTATTCACCTGGGTGGAATTGGGGCTGTTGTGGGGAAAATCTAAAACACACACACACACACACACAGACACACACACACACACACACACACACACACACAACACACACACAGAGTGGGCGATTTGGTGAGTCCTTATTGCATCTTGGGCAGACTGTCGGGGATCAGCCTCCTGATGAGTCAGTGAAAGTCTGACGAAACAGTCTGGCACAGTCCTCTCTCTCTCTCTCTCTCTCTCTCTCTCTCTCTCTCTCTCTCTCTCTCTCTCTCTGTGTCTGTGTGTGACACACACACATGTACAGAAAGAGATCGTTGCTCCTAAGCTTTTTGCCATGCTGGAGGTTGGGCTGTGCATCGGGACGGGCTCTGCATCGAGAAGGTTGGACGCTGATGCTTGGCTGTGCATTAGAGCACGCCAGCATGACTGGAGGTGAGTTATTTCGTGCTTTTTGTTTGTGTGTGTGTGCGACCCACTTTGCTCGACGCTGTTACTCCACTGTATGCTGCGACGGTCGACTTCGACTTTGCTACTCTACTCTATGCCTCTACTCTATGCTGCGACGCTCGACTTGAAGTATGCTACTCTGCTCTGCGCGGCAACGCCATGCGCAACGGTGTTCGCTACTCTACGGTGTGCGAGAGAGAGCGGGATAGCGGGAGCGGGAGCGGCACAAGGTGGAGAGGGGGAGGTGGAGGGGGCAATGGGCGCTGAAATGGAGCACACGCAAGAGAGGAAGAGAGAGAGGAAGAGAGAGAGGAAGAGAGAGAGAGAGAGAGGGATCAGAAGTGGGATAGCAGGAGTGGGAGCGGGACCGGGAGCGGGATGGCAGGAGCGGGATAGGGGGACTGGGAGCGGGATAGCGGGACTGGGAGCGGCATATGGCGGAGAGGGGGAGGGGGAGATGGGCGCTGGGTTGAGCGTGCGCACAAGAGAGAGAGAGAGAGAGAGAGAGAGAGAGAGAGAGAGAGAGAGAGAGAGAGAGAGAGAGAG